GCGACACACATGCTCTGTAACGTGAGAGCGACAGGCCGACGCGCCTGCAAGACATCATGACAATTAACATTTCTGCGCGACTCGCATGGGAGTGTGACTGCATCACACTGTCCTTCCACTGGGATACCGTTTGCTTTGCTTTGCTTTGACTTCCTTCTGCAAAACTTTCTACTCCAACGTCTCCAACATCTCCGACATCTCCAACTCAACAAAACCGTCACCACAGCTCGCTTATTTCACTCAATCAATCGGTTTGCATGCTGCTAGCACTCTTCCCGTTGTCTCTGCATCATCGCTGGTCCGGCAATTCGCTGTAGGGTGTCCACTTTTCGTTCTTCGGTGGTTCTCCAGCAGATGGTACCTGAGTCATGCTCTTGCTGTCCAGGGTCCACCTGGTACACGCAACCAATACACTTGTATCGGTCCGACACCTCACTTGATATTTCAGAACAAGGCGACATCAATCACGACACTTCGATCATGGAAGGCTACCGAACCCAGTAATCAATCGCTGCCGAACCAAGTCACAACATGCCGCTGTTGCGCCGGCGTGCGAGCAATTGTGGAGCTGCGGTTTATATGTCCGGTAGGGCTGCATTCGGAGACAGTGCGGCGATTTGTGTTGCAGAGTGACGCCGCTGGGATGTGGTGATGTAACTCGCAAAGGACGCCTGGTATGCATCACGGGGCATGAAGAGCTGGACGCGAGACACCGACAAATTCGCCGGTGGTGGATTCCGACAACCACGCGTCCCTATAACATGCGATATATACCTATTAGACCTGGCCTCTGGAAGAAACAGTATCCAGATGCCTCTGTGCACTGGACGAAAACTGCCTTCAACTCCGGCGTGCGAGGTCTATATATATCTACTTTGGAAACGCCAATTTCCCGTCACTGGATATAAAAGGTGACTGTCATTCGAAGAGACAGTCATCAGACACGGTGTAGGTAGATCATAGAACACACTGACACCAGAGATATGTATGAAGCGCTGCCATATCGATTAGCAGTCTTTCCCCACTTGATTCGGATATGGCGCTTCCAGACCAGACAGCTGGGGATTCCCCGGATCCCCTGCGGCCACAAACATAGTTTTCTGAAGATCATCGTTGCCCATCTCCGTGGCCGAGGAGTCAAGACCATATGGGAACTTAATGAGGCAACTAAAGCGCCGACGCGAGGTCCCGACAAACTCTTTAGATTCTCTTATTGATCGCCATTCATCAACGATCTTCGGAGAACATTGGTCTGAGAAATCGGCGATCGATCTGCAGTTGCGTGAATGTAGTTGACCGCAATCTCCAGATAAGGGTTCGTGGAGACAATCTGGCGTCGCGGCATTAAGCCTCACCCTCATCTAGCCTTCCCACCTCATATCAAGCCCTGAAGGTACATCAACCATGTAAATGCGATTTAAAGTCAGGAAAAATCAGTTGCCATGCGTCCCAGCTGTTCGCAGCTATGATGTTGTACACGACGGCGCGTGCGTTCATCTTTTTGTATCCTATGCGTGATGAGTCAAAACATGACCATGGTGCACGAAGAACAGTTCGTCCGCAGTACACATTTCTCAACTCTCGAGCGCGAGCGGAATGCGAAACACCCATGTGGGCGATATGGTCCAGGATACCGTGTTGGACAGCCCTCGGCATTGCGTCACTGCCAACTCCAACGCCTGGCCCAAGCTCAAGCTGTCTCTTAACAATCTGGACGCGAAAACTCCAGTGTAGCGACAGCGACGTGTAGTGACGCGGTGATTTGTTTGCAGAACGTCCATCGCACCTACCTCATTAGACCTGGACTTTGCACGTTGCTGAGTAAGAGCTCGCAGCTACCCCACCATGCACGGCATCCTCGAGCTCTCGCTGCAGCTCCTCAACTCGTTTAGCCCGGCCAATCTCGGTGCGTACGCCTCATCCACTAGCCACCTACTGTTGCTGTGGCTTAAATTAACAGTCACTAATGATGAACAGGTCGATCTGGGGCTCAAGTACCTCTTCAAGGCGAACAGGATGTGAAGTGTCGGTACTCCCTAATCTTACTGGTTAGGCCAGCAGATTGAAGCAGCAACTAACAAACGCACAGCAATACCAACAAAGTCATCTGTTCCAGACTACTTTGTCACGGACGATGGACACTTCCAAGGTCCTACCAAGACGGGCGCTGCACCGTTCATGGCGCAGACAAACCTAGCACCTTTTGCCGGCGTGTCATACATTCCAAATACGCCTCTGGAAACACAAATCCCCATTGCTGGCAATGCGGAAAACAAGAACATATTCCAAAGTATGGCAAACATCAGCCCTTACTTCCCTAATCCCCGAGGCTTCGGAGTAAACGAGTACTCGATACCGCCTGGCACCAACGTAACATGGCTCAACATGGTCCATCGCCATGGAAGCCGGTACCCCGAAGTCAGTGGTGAAGCTGCAGAGCGGACTTTAGGGAAGAAGCTCACGGATGCGGCTGGCAAGTTCACAGGTCACGGACCCCTTTCGTTCCTCAACGATTGGCAATTCCTACTGGGTGCTGAGATCCTCGTTCCCAATGGCAAGCAAGAGCTATTTACTTCTGGTACTCTGCACTACTACCAGTATGGCCATTTGTATCCCAACAATGGAAGCAAGATTATCGTCCGGAGTACGACCCAACGACGCATGACCGAGTCGGCGGAGTACTTCCTTGCCGGCTTTTTCGGTCTAGGCTGGGCGCAAAATGCAACGCTTGAGCTGGCAATTGAGGCGCCCGGCTTCAACAATACGCTTGCTGGCTACAAGCAGTGCAACCATTCGAGTTGGCCGACGGCTCGACAAGGGCTCATGGAATGGATCGGCGTGTACCTTCATGATGCTCATCAGAGGTTCAGAAGCAACATCACCGGTGACCTTGACTGGACAATCACCGATACGTACAACGCTCAAGCTTTGTGTTCGTACGAGACAATTTCGCTTGGCTTCTCTCACTGGTGCGGCCTGTTTACCTACGAGGAATGGGAAGGCTACGAGTACGCCCTGGATCTTTCATTCCAGGCAGGCACAGGATTTGGCTCTTCAGTCGGCCGTGCTATTGGAATCGGTAAGGATTGACGATGTCTCTTCTACCTCACTATACTAATATTGCACAGGCTACGTGGAGGAAGTCCTCGCCCGCATGCAGCACCACGTTATCACCTCCCCTTCTGCCCAAATCAACGTAACCCTTGACAATAACACGGTCACCTTTCCCATCGATCAGAACCTGAACCTAGACTTTAGCCATGACGCCGGTATCATCAGTATTCTCGTCGCATTCGGCATCACGCAGTTCAGCGAGGTACTGCCCACGACCCACATCAAGACGCCCCGCGAATTCATCCTCTCGCATCTCCAACCGTTCGCTGGTCGTCTCGACATCGAAGTCATCAAAGCACCTGCGCCCGTCAACCCTAACCGGACGGACGAGAAGATATATCTTGACGGGCCGCCGACGAGCTACGTTCATTTTATTCTCAACCAAAGGACTATTCCACTGGGTCGTAGTCACAAGGAATGTGGTGATAGAGACGACGGGTGGTGCGAGATGGAAACATTCCTGAAGGTCCAGCAAAAGCAGATTGAGCTTGCGGATTACGATTTCGCTTGCTTTGGAGAGTACGACGATCCGACGTACGGAGAGGTCACAGATGGACGGCCGCTGAGATAGGCGCTGGGATTCTGTTGAGAATGATGGCGGGATAATGATTTGGATACGTCGCGATGACAATATCTTTGTTGCTAATGAATGTACGCCATTAAAGTCTCATCGTTGAATTATTCTATTCGCGACATCACTATGCTGGTAACCATACGTTTCGGCAAGGTCTTGTTCGCTCTTGCAGTTACTGATAGCACAGCAACAAGTTCCCGGCTTATCATCATTCTTGCTCAGTATCCAAAAGGTTCCGAATCATAATCAAAATCGTCATCTGAGTCGTCCATTCCATCCCAGACACCAACGTAACGCACAGAGTCAGGCAATCCTTTGCACCTCAATTTGTTGCCTGGAAAGCAGAGCTCCAAAACACCCTCACCCAAGAACATGAGTTGACAATCAAAGGCAGCCTCATCCACAGTGCCATAGGCAAACGTTCCAGCCGGGTCTTGTGACGCGAACTGCGGAGGGCTCCTGATGTCCATCCAAAACCCGTCTTCCGGTTCGTCAATGAGATCGAGCTTGACTCCAATTTCTTTATCACCTTTAGGCAACAGTGGCTCTAAGTACTGCCTACCGATTTTCAGGCTTCCGGCTTCCCAGTCTTCGATGTTATTTCTCTTTTCCCACCACTGGTCTGGGTTCTGAGCATATATGTCCAAATGTTGAGACGAGTAAAGCGTATAGTTGCCGCTGATGTCTCCCAGAGGTATCCTCTCGCCATTTTGTAGTCTTTTCTTGAGAGCTTGTGCTTGATCCTCGAAACGGGTTGCTTCGGTCTTGTGTTCGGCAGCAACTTCTTGATGATTTACGTAGTATTCCTCTTCCTCGTCCGTTTCTGTTTCTTCATCTTCGCACTCTTCTTCTTTCTTTGCAACCGGCGTCTCTTCTAGAGTATGTAAACTTTCATCTGAACAAGAGTCGTGGCATCTTACCACTATGCATGCCAAACCCTCTCGGATTGTCGTGATTATGCTGCGTCGCCATACCGAAACGGAACAAAGCTCTTCTGGTTTGAACACTCCAGGGAGAGGATTACGGTTCGATTCTTCGCCTATACAGGTCTATGCGCAGATGGAAGAAGTAAATTCGTTGGTGGAGAGAGATAATCTGTGATGCTCAAGGTCGGGTTGAGGGTCGCGCCGAGACGCGTTGCATTGTTTTTGGTCTACCAAGAGTAGTGCATTGGGTTCGGCCCGACGCCACATCGTCATCACACGTCGAATTCACGATCAGAGATCCTCGCACTACAAAACCAAAAGGATATATTACAAAGTCGTAAATGACAAGATTGAAGTGTATACAAATTCGGAGATCGCATGCTTTCTCATTCTCCATCTTCGTTATCGTCCTCATCGTCGCTCTCGTCAAAGCTCCCAGAATCAGAGTCTTCCAAGCCATCGGGCACCCCAAACCCGGCCAGCATATTCGACGGGTGCGTATGCCTGGTATACTTGCAATTCCGCCACTCGTCATCGAATTCCTCGGCTGCGCGCTTCACAGCTTTCCGATCTTGGACCAGAATCCCAGCAAAGTAGATACCATCCATGTGCAACTCCAAGTAGCCATCTCCGAGAAACCTGAGTTCGACGTAGATCTGGTCTTCTTCACCCTCATCGAAGAGCTGGACGCTTTCGGGAAGCGTGGATGTATATTTCGGTTTGTTGAACGTGGTCGCATGGGCGTCTACAGGCCCACCCCAGATTTCGAGTTGCATGCCCATATTGCCAGCATAGGGACCAAAATCTTCGACGATGAGGTGCTTTCCAAACTCGATGCTTCCCACACCGTCGGTCCAGTCGTTATCTTCGAGGTCTTGGCCATCCTTGCTTGCATATTCTTCCACCCATTGCGCGGAGTAGAGGTGCCACTTTCCGCGTATGTCACCTACTTTACGCTCTGTGTCCCCAAGCTTTTCGGCGGCGGCCTTGACTTTTTCTTCTTCTTTAGCTTGATCTGCTTTCACTTCTTCGAGCAGCGCTTCGGGGTCTTCTTCGTCGGTTTCCTCTGCGCCTGAGCTCTCAGCTTCCGATTCTGTTCCCAGTTCCACTTCGCTGTTCTCCTCTCGGTTCCGTTCCTGCGCTAGTGGAATCGGTTAGAGCGTCACAACAAGCTAGCTGGAGGCGTGAATGAACTCACCTGGATTCGCGCTGGGTTGTGTAGCAGGCATATTGAGGTTGATCCGTGTCGTGGCCTCCGCTACAATAGAGATGCATGTGTTATGGAGAGGAAGTGTTTACATTTAAGGTTTCTAGAAAAGCCATTGTGACGTAGCTGCGGAGATCTTCCCGACTGGGGTGTTCGCGCTACGGCAGGAACGCCTGACGCGACGACGCGTTGCCCCATCTCCTCGCCCCAGCTTTGCGTCCAACACGGCGCTATGGCGCTCCCTCGCTCATGCTTGGAATCAAATGTCGCTTCCATCACCAGCGATCCTTCGGCAGCTTTATGAGCTTTCGCATGTGAAACGAATGCTAGGCGGCTTCGCTCCCCAGGTCATCTAAACGAAAAGAAAGCAATCCTTGGAAGGCGCACCGGATCCCCAGAAACCGGTCAATATCGCGCGCCCGTACTCATCATGTCTAGGGGTATACAAGCGTCTCAAACAGTTCCCAGAATGGTCACCCCGACCCAAGTAGTCTCAAAGCCTAGTGTTTTCCTAAAGGTCGAATCCTTAGTTTCGTAGCGGCAATCACGACCCTGAGCTTCGCACACTCTCGCACACCAAGTGCGGTGGTCTACCTCACTTCCGTCTCCCCACTTCGTGCTAGCATTTCCATCTTCAGCTTCTCCAGGTCCAAGTGCGGAGCAACCTTGTTCGCCCACCAAAGCGCCACCCAGCCTCTGCTCGTCTCTTTCAGCTTATCCGCCAACATCTGCTCCTGCTCTTGTTCTGCTGACTCATCATCGTAGTGCTTCTCCATATCCTCGCGCGACATGCTAAGGAAGCTAGTATTCACCTTTTCGCTAAAAGCATCCGATGCCCATACGCCGGGTGTGTAGGCTGAAGTTGTGCGATGGAACTTAGGTCGCGGGCGATGGTTTTCGGCAAGTGTATGTTCGGCGTGGGGCAGCACAACCGCAGTGCGAGAGAGCGACTGGAAGGGCGAGGGATTGACGACGTAATGATGCTCGGGTGATATAGTCACCGAATCTGTTGTACGGACCCGTTTAGGCGATGGTGAGGCGGATTGGCTGCCTGGAATGGTGCGAGTGCGTAGGCGCTTAAGGATCGATTTGGGGACTGCGGAGTTATGCTGGGATGCTAGCGGGGTTGCAGTCATTGCTGTGGCTGTGGGATGTGCGTCTAAACTTTCTTTCGGTTCCGGTTCTGGTGCTGAAATCCACTGAGACTCCGGTGGCTGACTGCGCAAAGCTTCCACTAACGGATCCAATCCAGTTGACTCCGGCATCGTGAGCACCTGCTGCGGTTCATTCAATCCTGCCGTGGATACGGATGTTACCTCGTCTCTCCACTCTTCTTTCATCTCTTTCTCGATCACCATCCTCACCCATTTCATCAACAAACGCGCGCCCTCCTTCTCCAACTCGGTCGGCTCTCCTTCTTCTGCACCGTCAACGTATCTTAGACCCGGCACTCTACCCAGCAAGACCTTCTTGTAGTTCCAAATATTGAGCGCTTCTCTCAGCTTGGTAAGGTCCTGGACTGGCACACTTGTGTCGTTGAGTAAGTCTTCGAACAACTCCACAGTATTGGTTAGTGCAATTTTTGCCCTGCGCCAGTTCCTTCTGACGGCCTTGTGGCCAGGGCTCGCATGGTCGCCTTTGCCGCCTTCTTTGGACTGGAAAAGACCACCGCGCATGTCAAACTGTTCCTGTACAGCCTCGATGTCTCGGGTTTGTGAAATTATCATGCATGATGGGCAGAGTTGTGGCGATGGGAGCCTGGAAGCAAGAGTGGTCGGTACCGGGTGTGCGCATGCGCTCAGAACAGGCGTGGCAAAGTTGGATCGTACCATCTTGGAGAAGTCGTGGGAGTTGAGCGTCGGGGTTTAATGGACGAGTTGCTGTATGCGACAGTTTGCTGCGGCTCTGCGTGAGCAAGGGTCATCTGTGTCTGTGCGTTAATGTCCTTCTTTTCTCAGACAGGAGAAGCGAGTTTAGGTCCAGGCTGCCACAATATGACGTAATAGTGGAGTTTCAAGTGAATAACCACGGTACTGCGACGACCTGTAAACGACGAGTCACTCACAACTCCCATAATGCCAATGAGATAACGGTGGCAAGCCCCCTTCCCACGAGGGGCCTCAAAGAAAAAGGTGTGAAGTAGAGTAGAAGAGCTATCGCATGGCTCGTTAAAATGGATAGAAGCTGGGTCCATCAGTATGATAGTCAAATTCGACCGGCCTTCACGAAGGCGCACCTCATATAAGCGTAAACTGAACATACGCGCTGAAGTCGACGTTATTCTCAAAACGCAAGTCTGCAAGTTCTTACGACAATGTAGTCTTACCAGTCATTCGTTTTCGTACTTTGTTGATGGGGATGGGCATTTGATCCTCAAGCGTACATGATATCGGGTGGTAATGCCAGGTACTGATGGAACCGGCAGAAAGTGAAGTCGGTAGTTACCACATGAAACCGCCCGACTACAGAGCGCCGCTTTCCATATTTCTTTCTGAAAACGTCCGATGTGTATGAGACAGCTAAGGAAAGAATGTGAGTGTTTGACCAGCCGATTCGAGAGGTGGCCAGCTTATGACGCAATGCATCCTTTTAGTCACCGTGATGGCATTTTGTCTGATTACACCCCCTACTTGAAGTTCACAGCCTGTCCATCTGAAACACATTTACGCATTCACAAAGGCAAGGCCAAAATACATGCTCCCAAGACGTGTCGACGGAATGAGCAATATTGTTGGTGGAAAGATTCGGCGACTTGTGATGGCAACACAGATAGGAGACCAGAAAGAAGCAAAGAAACAGTATAACGGTGATGTCATGGATTATATTGTGAGGTGTAGTATGCCGACAGAACCGAGTGAGGGAGATCGATATATAATGGGAAGAGATGCCCACTTGGCGAGGCTGAGACCGAAATGTCGCGGTACGTCCACCCCAGTATTCTAACGGGGTTCAAGCTCTTCCAGCACATATCTTGAGAATCCACTCACTATCCAGTTTGGAGACATGAACGCAGGTCTTGTACCAGACATCGCAACAGGTACGCTACGTGCCAGCTGTGCAATACGATGTACATGCGCTTGCCTTGCCAAAAGGTCTGGTCAGTCCACCATGGCTCCTCACACGCGCTCCAAGACGAGTCGGCACTCTACCAGCAAAAGCATCGCAATCATTCACAGATTGGTCCGGACCAGATGACCATGCAGTCCGTTCTCCATCGGCATGATCTATCTTCCGCACAGCTGAGGCACGTGGCGCGATATGGCTCTCACGTGGCTGCCATGATGTTCCACACATGGCCGGACATTACTCGTTCATGGAAAAGTAAAGGCCAGTCGGTAGTGCAATTGAATGACACCATATGGGCGACGAGAGAGTTGGAGTCCTGCTTGTAGAGAAGAGGTCTCGAGGTGGGGGGTCCCATGCAGGCAATACGCTAGTCAAGGCCGCGGCAAAAACGAGGCTGGGATCACGCCACGAAGAGAGCCGTTGCATGAGCACCAGCACACACGCCACGAATACTGCATCGCATCGCATCGCATCGTCCTTCATCGACCTGCAGTCTTTTGAATTGCAGCAATATGCATTGCTGATAGTCAGTGATAGAGCAGAGAGGATAAATACGCATGGTGTGGACGTGATCGTCGTACCGCAATCTTCGCATCCATGGACGATCGTTTAGATGAGGGGCCGCATGAGAACCGTGGTACTGCTCCGGGTCCTCATAGGGGAACTGTTGTACAAATAGATTCCGCGGCGCCTCAAGCAATAGCAGTACAGAACAGCATGTCGACTTCCTCATGGCTGTCGTCATTGACGCAGCATGGATCCAAACCACCGGTTATGCTCAAAGTTAGAAGCTCGGATGCCTTCATTATCGGGACTGTGTCTTTGGCCGTCTTCACAGTAAGTCTTTAATCCGGGTGTAGCTAGGTGCAGAACAAGAGCTGATTCAAGAAGGACATGTTTCTGTACGGCGTCATTGTACCCGTCATCCCATTCGCAATACGTTCGCGTAGTCACATTGAGGAGGACCAAGTTCAATACTGGGTCTCGGTACTGGTTGCTGTATATGGCGCTGCTCTTCTTGCATTCTCGCCCATATGCGGATGGCTTGCGGACCGCGGGTCGACGCGTCGCTTTCCTCTTCTGATGGGCTTGTTCGTTCTCCTAGGAGCTACAATCCTGCTGAACCTTGGCAACTCGACTGGAGCTTTGATTGTCGGAAGGCTCCTGCAGGGGGCTTCGGCAGCTGTGGTATGGGTCGTTGGCCTGGCCTTGCTGGCTGATACGGTGCCCCAGGAACGACTTGCAACTGCTGCTGGGTGGCTGACCATAGGCATGTCGATCGGAATGCTCATATCGCCTCTACTCGGTGGCATAGTCTACGACAAGGCTGGTTATAATGCCGTCTTCGGCATGTGCTATGCATTAGTCGGCTTGGATGTGATTCTCAGACTGTTGCTCGTGGAGAAGAAGGTGGCTGCGAGATGGGACGCAACAGTCATGGGACACTCATCTGGCGAGGGAGACGCATCCTCAGAGGATAAAGAACTAGGCTCCATCGCCATCGCAAGTCGAAGCGACAGCTTAGGTCTCACCAGGACGACAACTCAGCAAGACGCAGAGTCTGCTGAAGCGCAACAAGGAAGTCCGCCTCAGCAACGTGTGCGCGACCGCCTTCCTCCTGTGCTTTCACTCCTGTATTCCCGACGCCTGCTTGCCTCGCTATTCTGTGCGCTCATTCAAGCAACATTGTTGACGGCCTTCGACTCTGTCCTCGCCATCCACGCCGCCAACACATTCAACTGGTCCTCGACAGGCGCTGCGCTTCTTTTCCTTCCGATTGTCATACCAAGTCTCCTCTCGCCGCTGTGGGGCTGGTTGAGTGACACATACGGAGGACGCTATGTGGTAGTCGTTGGCTTTCTGGGCGGTTGCCCTCCCCTCGTCTGCCTCCGGTTTGTCGATGAGAACACGATGAAGGACAAGGTGCTGCTATGCGCGTTACTGGCGGTCACGGGG